CCGCAGACGGTCAAAGGAAAGACGAGTTATACGCGTATTTACAAGCGGTTGTCGGTTCTTTCTTCACACCATCAATTGTCGATTTGGCGGTGAAACGAACGCACAGGTCGACGGGGGCAATTGGCACCAATTCCAGCTGACATCACGTGATAGGCCAATGTGGCTATGAGACATTGAATGACAGCGGTGGGCGGCTATTATACCTTTGTTGCACGCACCGCCTCGTCTTCGATACGCTGTTTCTCCACCGTCAAATCCATCAAGTAAAGTGGACAGCACTAGGTGACCGCCTTAGGAGCCAGCTGGATCACATATTGGTGAGCAGGAAGTGGCGAAGCGCTCTTCACGACACTCGGGTTGACATTGGCTTAGATCACTATCGCAAATCTCTGCTTTTAACTGGCCACGTCCCGAAGAACAGCGCGGAATGGGGAGAACTTCCGATTCGACATGCAGCAAGGTAAAAAAATCCAGAAACTGACGCGGCGTTGCAAGACGAGATCAGCCGCCGCGGATTCACTGCTCTAAAGGACATTACCTTTCAGAATTCATAGTTGCTCTACCAACAGCTCAAACAAGGCATTGTCGTTACTGTAGAAAATATTCTCGATCTAAGCAAAAAGACGAAACACCCTTGGGTTTCGACAGAAACCCTCACTCTTCGCCAGAGAAGAAACGGGCGAAGCAGGAATTCTTTTATAACTCCGAAGAGACGAAAAAGCGAGAGTGTCGGCATCTCGTGAATGCACTCAGCAGGAGTTACCGCTGTGACTAGCGACATTGGATGGAACTCGAAGCGAAGAACCTGGAACAGGCGGCTTTGAAGAAGGACTGAAACACACTGTGTTGGCAAGTGAAAATCATCACTAGTAGCGGCAAACATAAACCCCTAACTTGCCTGATTTGCAGCAAGTCCAATGAGCCCCTTTTAGGTTCGGACAGCCGTCGGAGGAGAGGGACAGAACACTCCGAAGAGCTCTTAAATCGGCCCGCTCCAGTAGATGACCTGGAAATAGAGTTCGAAGACCGGGAAGAACTTAAAATTGACTGCTATATTTCATCGAAGCAGGAAATATGAGATGCTGTCCATCTGCACGGAAGTTCGAAGTCCTGCGGGCATGACAGAATTAGTGCGGAAATTCTGAATTGCTTAAGCGAAGCCTTACTGAACTTGATCCATCTGGTTTTTTGACGGCATCTGGCAAAAGTCGGAAGTCCCGGAGTACTGGAAGCAGGGCATGATCATTCCCATATTCAAACGTGGCAATCGTTCTGATTGCTCCAACTACCGCGGGATCACAGTTCTACCTCCGCTGGAAAAGATATTCGCGCGAATCCTCCTCGGAAAACTCAAAAACGCAGTTGACAGTTCGCTTCAATCAAATCAAAACGGCTTTCGAACTAGGTAACATCACTGTACTAAAGAAGATTGTAGAACAAAGAAGAAGCCTCCAACTGCCTTGACATGCAGCATTCCTCGACATCTGAGCAGCTTTCGACTCGGTAAACCGTGAATCCTTGTGGCGCGTACTGCGACATTATAGAGTACTACAGAAGATCATCGGTCTGCTGAAAGGACTGTACGAAGGAACTGGAGGCGCCATCAAATAGAAGAGTCATTATCGTGCTGATTTAACATCAACAGTGGATTGTGTCAAAGAGAGGGGCTTTCACCTCTATTATTCAACATGGTGGTGAATTATTCGATGCGGATGAGCATCGTCCCCAACCACGCAAGGGATTTCCAGTCAGACGACGACTCGGCCAAAGGTATCCAGCAGTACTCATAATAGATCTCGAGTACGCTGGCGACATTGACATTGTACTGTTGAGCGACTGTGCCAGTGGCTTACTGGCACCAGCTCGACAAGGTTGTACGGTGGCCTCGACGGTAGGCTTAAAAGCTAACCTCACCAAATCGAAGATCTTTTGAGCACCCGACGCGACTAACGACCCAAACGTTTAGTAGAGTGGAACGATCATCGAGGAGGTCGAAAACTTTAAGTACTTCTATTATGTACTGGCAAGAGATTGAAGCTGCGATATGGAAGTAGAGTTGCGCTTAGGGCTGTCATATGTGAACTTCGGAGGACATTCTTAAGTGTGGCAAGACCGATCTATGATTAAATGACCTTGGAGACGACCGGTCTAGGAATGCTGTCTGAAGAATTCGGCGACCGGCTTCTGTGGTGGTTTGAAAGAATCGTGCAAGTAGAGAATGGAGACTAATCCAAAATCATTCTCCTATGGGGAGCAATAAATGGTCGCAGGCGCGTCAGAGGCCAATGTCGCACCCTAAACTGCTAGAGGTGGATTTGTTTGCGGCATGGAACATGATTTTGTCGCAGCTACCAGCATCGCCTGAATCATTCTGAGAAGCCAAAGCGTAAGATATCATTAATCTGGTACTCTGTCCTTGACCTTGGAACCTCAGGTGACTTTGATAAGAACAACAACGGAAATAACGCAGCATACACGGTTTTATGAGGCGGTACGATCGAACGTTGCCAATGGCATTTTCTGAATGTGTCCTTAACAACATGACTAGTTTTGTGAAACGTCAGAGAACAGCTTCGTAGTTGTTTTCAAATGTATGTGTGGTGCGTGACGGTTCTGTTTCTCTGAAATTCATTAAGTTGGTCCACTTATAAACCTGTTCATTCGTTCCATTTTTTGTAACAGATTGGATTTCGACTTCATTTTGCACCTTCATCAAGACATTCCTTTGCAAAGGAACAGACAGGTTACTATGACTGAATTGAATGTAGTTAATTACTGGAGAATTTCTAACAGAATCTCTTACTGACGTTGTTTGATAGTGAAGTCATGCTTTGTGTTATCTTTGGTAACCATGTGATCATATATTTTAAAAATAGTTTTTAGAGCTTGAGAAAAGAGCTTAGCGCCGCGCGTCTGCTGCGAATCGAGTTGGAGCGAAGAGTGAAGAACTCAGAAAAAAACTGCGGAACTTCTCAGGCAACTTGCAGCGTTTTGGAAAAACAGTTATCTGAATTGTCGGAAGAATTGAGGAAACAAAAAAACAGTTTTGACAGTCTGAAAAAGAAGTACAGCGTAAGTGTGGTGTGTTTAATGTTCGATTTTCCGTGTACTGCACTTCGTTCTTCTAGGAACGAGAGGGTAACATAAAACAACTTGGAAACGACCTCGTCCGGATGTCTGAAGAAGTGAGTCGGTGTGAAAAGAAGAACCTACAGCAAAAGGCAGCGTACGACAAATGTCTGGACGACATCGCGCAGCACGTCGCCAAAGCATTGGTCGATCAGGATGTAAATCATGCGTCTGTTTTGAAATTGCTGTTCTGTGTCAAAAATCTGATCGATTGATTTTTTGCTAATTTGCCTTACCTAGCACAGGTTATTTAATGCGCTTAGTCGTGCAGCCGGATACTGATTCGGCTTTAGAAAGACTTTTAAAACTGTTCTTGATTCTGAACCATATTGAAGACGAACGATGATTATTGATTGCCTCTGTTCATGGTTCGAACCCAGTTGCAATAAACACCCATAGAAAAACAAATTTAAACTAATGCTGTAGGTCGACGGGTTTTGTTACTGGCAACCAGTAGCATTTTCAGTGTATTTAACCCTAAGAATGCCAGTAGCGAAACGCCTTGGTGAAAAACAAACGATCATTGTTGCTGGGTGTCTATTTCAATTGGACTCAATCTATGAACTGAGAGACCCAGACTGCCTGTCATGGGATGAATAGCGTTGTTCAGAACCTAAATTTATTTTGTTTGCGTAGCCTGGTAATCCATTCGATTCAGCGCCAGCAAAATTTTTTAATTCAGAGCCAGCCCGTCGCACGTTTATCACCAACTCGACACGGGTAGAGAGCAACGGTAAATGTGGGAAGGAGACCGCAGACGGCACTATGCTAATCACAGCGGTGACCGTTGTTTCGTCTCCATAAATAAGGCTTCGCTTGCTGATGGTATCGAGACTGAGATCAGTGTCACTCTTCACGCCCAGTGAAATAGCGGTGCCAAGGATGGCTTCTATTACATATTGCTGTAGAGGCCTGATTATCGGCGTTCTTTAATTCCTCTTATAATTTAGTCAAAAAAGCCGAGCTGCGTGATTCAGGGTGCTTACGTTAAAGGATCAGTAATCTGATGGCCAAAAGCTTTCATTAGAGGGCGAATCCAGAACTGACAGTGAATGTTAAATAAGTTGTTACATAAACGGTCAGTGAATTAGCGAAATAACCTAAAACTACGGGGAGAAAGCAGCGGATAACAGTCTCAGTGATACAGTGGAGCTCATGAATACTGCGTCGTCAGTTTTTCTCGTCTTGCGGGAATGATCCAGAGTCTGTGCGTGTGAGTTACGTCGTACCGTATACCCTTTGCGTCTACAAACGTATCAAAGGAGTACCGTTCTACTATGCACATGCGATTGTGATGAACGCGAGTTCCTGCAACTTAGCTATTAGTTACCTGACATCATTATTATTTGATAGAGGATTGTGTTGTTGTAATGATGACTTTGATGCTCATACGTTTGGTAAATAATTTTCTTCGTCTATTTAGCATTTGAAAAAAGAATGCGATCGCTTGAATAGTCGCGTGATTCAACTCGAATGGGAGAACCGATTGTTGCGCGCTCAGATGCAGTTTTCGTTGCAAAGTTCTGAAGAAGTGTCGCGCATAAGCGAGCGCAATGCTGGTTGTTCGGTCAATTCTCGCTTATTCAGTTCGGCCGTTTTTTGTAACTCTTCTCAAATCGAGGTAATGCTGATATTACTCTCACTGCTTATCAAACTCTGGCTATTTCGGTTTGTAACTTCTGGTCCCTACCGTTATTCTATTTTCCGGGTTTGCGTCGTGAATCAGGCCTAACGACCTCGTGTGTACTTTGGACAGCGGGTCGCCATTTTAGCCTAATGTGCTTAGTGCTTGACTACGACTAGCGGTTTTCTGAGTCTTCGTAGCTTTCCTTCTCTTTCAGATAGGTTTTTTCAGTCGGGATAGAAGTTCAGACAGTCTAATTGACCTTGCTAGGAAGAACAGGGAAGTTTGTTGGAACCGTTGGAATGTCGATCTTCCTTACACGTGCGTGCCCTTCGTTTCGTGCAGCTAACGGTTGGGAGCTGATTTTCATTTCCATTCTCTCAGCTAGGAACACCTTAACTTTTT